GTTGGATTATGCTTGATTCGTATGGAATTTTTATTATATTTCGAATTTGATGTTAAAAGTTAAATTTTCTTGGATTGTTATTATTATTTTTATATACAAGGTACAGGTTGCATAGAATAAATACAGTTGTGGCAAAATAAATATATATATATATATATATATGTATAAAAATAAAAATAAAAACTAAAGAAAGTTTTTATGATTAAACATTTAGTAGCTAAAAAGAAGTGAAGTTGTTGGAGACTTACCAATTCGTAGCCAAAAGGAAATAAAAGGCTTTTTCGTGATTAAATATTTGGTAGCCAAAAGAAAGAAAATATTTTTGGTGTCTAAATAATTTGTAGTAAAAAAAAATAATATGAAAAATAAATTTTATTTGGTGAGTAAATATTTAGTAGCCCACAAAATTTGAAGTTTTTGCCTACTAAAAATTTACTCATCAAATAAACTGTCCATATTTTTGACGACTAAATATTTAATCACCAAAAAAATACAATCTTTTGCCTACAAAAAAGTTTGGTTGCTAGCTAAAGGAGTCAATTACATGTTTGGCTACAAAATTAATTTCTCGTCGATAATGGAAAAAAGAATTGGCGACTATATATTTTAATCACTAAATAAAACATAGTACTGATAAAATTTATCTACGACTAAAAATTTAGTCGATAAAAGTTCAAAATAAATTTATAAAAAAAATTATGGCGACTAAATTATTAGTCGACGAATGGTATTCTTTGGCTACTAAAATAATTTTAGTCGACTAAAAATGGTTTTTAACGATTAAAAATTTAGTTTTGAAATGTGCAATTTCTTATAGCGTGTAACTAGTTTGAAGATAATTCATAGTGTCGAGATAATTGTAAATGATCATTTTTATACCCATGCTTCATAGTGTGAAGATAATTCTAAACAATAATTGTTATATTTTTTTGCAAAGTATATATTATTTAAAATTTATTATCATAATTTTGCGGTGTTGGTGTAAGAGGCGGGTACCCTTTGTCCAATCCATTTGAATCCAATTATAATTGAGTTTGAGTTTGTAGGATAAAATTCATTTAAATTACGACGAATTTCTCACATAAAATTACATAATTATTTAATGCTAACTGAATTTGTAAATATTTATACACAAGCATCAACATACATCATTATAACCTCACAATTGCTACAATCATCACTAATATTTTTGCAACCACCATCACCATCACCGTCACTGTCACTGTCACTGTCACGGTCACTGTCAGCACCACCACCACCACCACCACCACTACCACCACCACCACCATTGTTATTACCACTACCTTTATTATCCTTGTCATCGTTATCATAAAACATACCATCATTTCAAGTAGTAAAACTTCATTATCTTCAATAGTGAAATTTAACCTTAATATTTAGGTGAAATTATTAAAAAAGTGAAATTTCTACTAAAGAAATAAAAATTACAAAATTAAAGGCAAAGATGAACTAGCGAGTAAATGGAAAACTTACGAGTTAAAGAGAGATGTCATCAATGGATTCGTTGGCAAAAAAGTGATTGTCACTATCATTTAAATTAGCTAACGATAATTTAATTTTCTTAATTAATTTGTTGTATAATTAATCGTATAATGTGTGTAATTACCAAAATTTTACGTTAATTTGAAATTCCCTTTCAAAATTTGGGACCCTCCAAGTTTTGCCCCTAATCCCTCCTACGTTTCCCATGTCTCTTTCTCTTCCTCTCTCTCACATGACTACGTCTTCTCATTCTTCTTCCCTCACGGACAATTTTGTTGCTCCATTCCACCGTTGTACCGCCCGAAATCCAAAGTTGACACCGCCGATTCACGAACTTAGAGTATTTCATTCTGACCAGGTAAGTTGATTTCTGTTTCTTTCTCTAAATCTTATTCTTTGCCCTAATATCTCACAAACCGACTCCCTCTCTTAGCAATCTCTACCTCACACACCTTCACCGCCCTGTAATCACTACGGCACCATGCCACCGTTGGCACCATCTCTCTGAATACAACGGAAGCCCATTCCGTCGCCATAATCCTCACATTCGCATGACCCATCGCTACCACCAGCCAATCCTACCGGTAAGCCCGCTTTCCATTGCTTTTGTTGTCCCTCTTCATCCTCTCTTGCTTCTTGCCATTGTGCCCTAATATCTTCATTTTTCTCTCTTAGCCACCATATGTCGTTATGGGCATATGTTAATTTCCACTCTGTCTCTGTGTCTCTCTCTTTCTCTGTCTCTCTTCTCTATCTGTCTCTCACTCATCTTCCTCTCTCACCACACATCTCCTCTACTACCTTCACCACTACTGCAAATGTTATTCCACTATCACCACTACTACCACTGTTGCCACTCTACCTCTACGACTACCACCACTCCACTACCATCACCACCACTACTGCCACTACTATTACCATTACCTCTCCTCCACCACTGTCACTCCATCTCCTCTACCACTACCACAACTTCACCACTAATTGCCTTCGTCATTATCTCTTATCCACCACCTTCACCACTACTACTGCACCCTCTCCTCCACTACAAAAAATTAATTCCTGATTTATAATAACAAAAAAAAAATAGACTGCAAAAAAATTTTTCCACTGACCACAAAAATTAACTTTATTTTAACAGAAAATATTTTTAATTAAAATATTCCCCTACTTCTACCAAATAAAAAATAATAATAAATTTTTTCAGTAAAATAAAAATGAAACAAATAAATTTTCCACCTTAGTAACCTAAAAAAAATTGAAAATAAATAAATAAATAAATCAGTAACTACAAAAAAAAAAAAAAATTTAACAAAAAAAATTTCTTTCGTTTTCCCGCTCCCTTCCCCCTTTTTTTGCTCACGATCTCAAATCCCCAATCCCTAACCTAACACTCCCTCTCACTCTCCTTTCTCTTTTATATCTTTTGCCTCCTACGTCGTCAGCTCTGGTGCCGCCATCGACGACCACCACTGCCGCCGCCACACCTCCTCCCTCACTGCACTCTCTCTCTTCTCCTATTCTCTTCACCAGTCGTCTACTTCGTCTTCTCCACTCTCGTCGTCAGATCCAAAACCCTAACCCTACCTTCGATCTTCTCCAATCCCTCCACAAACCATATATTCAAATCCAGACCCTACACTCCCCTTAACTGTTTCAGAACCTTTGTCTACAAAGGACTATCGTCGGACTCGTTAGAACGGCAATCTCGAACGGACTGATTGCGATGAGAAAGACCAGGCGGCGAGGCACATTAACGCGTCAAAAACGAAATCAGAAGATGGACAGTTCATCTTTGCCCTAATTTTTCTCTCCATTTCTGCTCAAATGTAAGTATGATATAGTCGTCCTCAATGTGGGTTTCTTGGGTTACTGGTACTACTCTTAACTGTGCACTTTATATGTTTGTTTAATTGACTGAAAAGTGTGTTTGTTGGAATTACAAAATAAATTTGTCATGTAGTGGTTTAAATGTATTATAATAAATATTTAGCAAGAAATCCCTGCTTAAAATTAATTATCCCTGCAAATTGTTTTGTTGATAAAATCTTTTGGTGTGTTCCATAGATTTGTGATCAAATTAGGGGAAAAAGAACATCTTTACATGTTTGTTTTGCATTTCTTAGTTGACTACCATGTGCAATAGCACAATAATATTTGAGCATAGTCGAAGATACTATAACCTCTCCATATGCAGCAGCATAATAATTTTCAGCATAGTACAATGAATTTAAGAAGCACATACTACAGGCCACATTATCTGCGGACCTACCTTCGTAAAAAAAAACATTGTTTATTTTAATTGTTGTTAAAATTATTATAATTTTATTTAGTAAGGTGATTGTCTTGTTGGAAAGAACATGCCTATGAGTTCTGCTCACATGGAACCCAACTTGCCTTTTTCTCCAGTTTTTGAGGCCTACGGGATTTCATACTAATTATGTGATACAAAGAATGCTCCAAGCTTTTGCAATATGAATACGAAAAGAAAAAAAAAAAGTCATTTGCATGGAACTTAAAAACTTTAGAAAAGTAATAAATAATAATCATATAAAAAATAAAAAATAAATAAAAAACTTGGGTTTTGGTTAAAGGCAAGAGAGGCTTTTGGAACATATTATTGAATTTAACTTGAATTGAATTGGATGCACATGGCTGATATTAGATAATGATATCCCTAACATTTCCACCCCAGTAATTACAAGGCCCCCTTTTCGCTCCTCCTCTCTATTGCTTTTGTAATTTTCATTATCTGTATAATTTTGAGTTCAAAATGGAACAGTTTTTTAACATCATTTGGTCATAATCGTTCCCATCTGCTAGCCATTCAAATATTAATTTCAATTTCTTCCTTCGTCTATGAACAATTTCTTCAAGTACTTGTAGTTGTGAATAAGCATGTCACATAAACCTCAAACAATTTAAAGTTATATGATTTACATTCACCCACAAATTCATAGTTTTCTGACTACTATTACTTTTAATGAAATTCCCCACAATTACTTCTGCATCTTTGGACCATTAGTAACAACTTTTCCCTATGGATCGTTTAATGCTACCATCTTATCTATATCCATAGAACTAAATCATCTTAGTTACCCTAGTGTCCTTTGATTTAAGTTTTTTTCCTATCTAATTTAACTTGCAAAATTTTTGGGAAGATTGCAAATAAGGAGTATTGACATTTTTGCTAGTTTATATTATACAAAAGTGAGGTTTTAACAATAAAGGTTGAGCTCTAAAGCGTTAACTAAATTTCTTAATAAAGGTTGAGCTCTAAAGCGTTAACAAAAGTGAACTAAATCATTTTTTCTTAATTCTTAACTAAAAAATTTATCTCAGCCCTTTGTGTCCATGGTCATTTGGGAGCTTCTTGGAATTAATTCGTTCTATTGTTAGACAAGTGTTTGGCTTGGAGAATTGAAGTAGGTTAGGATTGGCCAAGCATAGATACATCAGTTGCATTGGTGTTTTATGGGTTTTTCTCATTTGTTTACAATATGGGGAGGGTTAAGTTAAAGATAAAGAGATTAGAGAGCACTAGCAATCAACAAGTGACCTATTTGAGAAGAAGGAATGGAATCTTGAAGAAAGCTAAAGAATTATTCATATTATGTGACATTGACATTGTCCTTCTCATGTTTTGTCCAACTGGAAAGGCAACATTATTCCGCAGAGAGCGCAGGTATTTTCAAGTCTCCAATTGTGCCTATATAAAAATGTTTGTGAAATTTGATGTATGGCATGAAAAATTAAACAAAATTCACTTGGATTTATGTGCACCATTTATCATTTCTTGAAATCATGTGTTTTTTTGTTTAGCAACATTCAAGAGGTTATTACAAAATTCGCTCAACTGACACCACAAGAAAGGACAAAAAGCTCAGTACAGATATGCTTTAAATCTATGAGGATGAAGAGTTGTTTTTCTTTTCTTTTTTTTTTTTTTTTGGTTAAATTTGAACTGCATTTGTCACAATGTCACTAAATAATTTTTATTTGAATGACCAAGAAGTTGGAGAGCCTTGAAGTAAGATTAATACTGCCCGTTCTCTAGTAAACCAATGCATTCTTTCTTTCTCTGTTTTCATTAAATATGAAATGATAAACGTATCATATTCATTCAAGCCTTTTGGTGTTCTATTTGAGAATATAGGCACCGAAGAAAACCTTTAAGAAGTTGGACCATGATGTAAATATACAAGACTTTTTGGGTTCAAGGTTTGTGTTTATTTTAATGAATCTTTTAAATCTTAAGGGATTAACTCTCGTGAAAGAACTAATGTTTTTTTTTTTCCCTCTCACAGCACTCAATGAATTGAGGTTAGCCATTTGTCACTGTTGTCACTGTAATGTTTTGAATTTCAATTCTTATTCATTGCTAGAATCCCAGTGAACTTTTTTGACATCTCTTAATTAAATTGTTATGGACAGGAATTATCCAACCAATTGAGGATGATGCGAGCTCAACTTACAGAAGCACACAAGAGACTGAGGTGCAACTTTGAAGCTCATATTTGTTAAAGTATTACCTTCCCTCCCCCTCCCCCCTTTTGTTTTTGGTCTTGTGAATCATAAAATTTGCATGATATAGTTATGCCTCGAAAAGCCCAATCAATTAAATTTTGCAATATAATTTTGTCTACATTGTTTTGTTCTAGGTTAAGATAAACTTAATACAATGTTTATAGATGTGGAGGGTTTGAACAATTGTCATTCTGTCGTTTACTTTTTTGTAGCCGGTAAATTAGTTGAAGTCAGTGATTTCCCCATTGTGGTATAGCAGTTGCAGCTTTGTTTTGTTTTATTTTAGTCACATTTCATATAGTCTGTTTCACGGTTTGTACATGTGCATAACTGTTTCTCACATTTTGTATCTGTGTGCCTTTACGCTCTTACCAAAAAAATTATATAAATTGATTTATGTGTGTGACGTTTGCGTTTATATTTTTTGTAATCGCCGGATATTTCATGGATTGCTTACTGCTCCAAATTATTTCATGGATTGTGTTTATATTTCTTAAAATATATGATTTGGCAGAAGTTTAAAGATTGACTAAGAAAGAATAAACAACTTTAGAGTTGTTCATAATTGCTTTATGTTTTGTCTACAAAATCTGCTTAGATTTAATGTTTAGTGGTGCTTTTTGTTTACATGTATTTCTTTAGTGTTCAAAAACTTGAAAACAAGTCATGATTCTATGGTGGTTCTATCTTATTCATAGAATGCCAGTTGCATAAAATGCTTTCTGGTTCATTATTAAAGGGGTAAGAAGTTTGAAGATATAAGAGTGGGGTTTTTGTTTGATTACTTCTTGTGCAAAATAGATCACTTCTTATTTTTAATCTCTATAGCAAAGGTTAGCAGCCAAGTGTGAAATCTAGCTTGTTTTATATGACTTTTATAAGGTCTGTTATGATTTATGGTACATAGTGTTGTGTGGTTAACATAGTCAAAAAATACATATGCATCTAAATGCATCAAGTCGGTAACAGTAAATGCTGCAATTGATTGCTCATTGACTCTAGTCATGGAAAAAGTGTTACTTTTTCTTTTTGCAAATCCGCATCATTTTATAGATCCAATTGGCACATGATGATGAGTGTGTTTGAACTTAACTCCCAGGCACATACATTTTTTTGTTTTTCTCAAAGATCTAGAACCCTTTATTTGTGATCTAAGATATTGGATTCCGATTCAAGTCACAATTTTTATTTTTTTATTTTTTTTTCCATTTTATCTCATTTTCATATCTTTTCCATTAATTTGTTGCAATTTCATCAAAATTTCATTGGAGACCTTTTTCGAAAGCTATAAATAAATTATCTTGCATGATATAGCTTCACTAATTGGTAGAGCTAGGGATTGTACCCCCAACTCTGGTGAGCTGGGCATAAGGGCCTGACACTGGGCCACCCTAGAGGCTTATTAATGATTTGTTTTGTCTATACAGTTGGTGTGAACAGCCTTTTTTGGCTTTTTTGCCCTTCTGTTTTAAATTATTCTTTTGCATTTTTTTGCATTTTTTTTATATAGATAACGTCATTTCAATCTTCCTATTCTCCTTGTGTGAGTTTCCCATTTTTTGCTGCTTCAATGTTTTCTCCTACTCCCTCATAATCTCTCCTCTTGTGTTTAGAATGAATACATAGGAATTTTTTTGCATCAATTTAGCTAACTATCCAAATCTTCGTGAATTTTGTAACAGTACCATGTGTTGAAAAATCAGACAGAGACTTATAGGAAGTAGGTTAGTGCATCATCTAATAGTAATTTTAGAACATGCAATTGTTTCTAGCACTTTTTTGTTGTTCCCATTTTGACTGCCTACCCCATCAGAAAGTAGGTTTGTTTCTGGACTACCTACCCCATCAGAACTCAAATTACTTTGGTTCAAGACCAATTCATTGAAATAATGTATTAATGAGTAGCAAATTAAAGCTTGTATCCTGAAAAAGCTACATGAAAACACTTTGAGGTTAGCATACCTAATGGTTCACATCTTGCCTAGAGTAAGGTGCAGCCGAGGTCCATGCCTCATGTGACCACCTTTCCTTATTTGAGAAATTAATAGATTTGACCAAAATATGGGTTGTCATAATATCATTAACATTTGAAGACAATCTGAACAGTTGTTGTAATAATAAGGAGTGCTGAGTGAGTTGAATCGAGCTCGGTTTCTATTACCAGTTTGCTGCTGCTGCCACCACCACGCTCTTTCTATATTAGTGATGGTAATAATATCACACATTTAACTTAATGATTTATTTAATGAATTTTAATGCATTTGGAGTTTTACATAAGCTATTCCAATTGGAAACAGAGGCATACTTCTATACTCATGTGCTTGAAGTGTTTTTTTAGTGGATTAGTGTCTAGGAGTTGTAAGTCTTATCACATGATAACAACAATTGGCTTCTGATCTGAATTTTTATTAATAGACTTGCTTCTTGTTTTTCGCACGGATGCTATGATCAAGCATTTTGAAGCAACTGGATCTGCTACCAGATTGGATATAGAGAGCTTAAACTCAAAGATGGAAGAGTTGCATGTTGGTTTGAAATTTAAGGAAGGGACGACATTCAAGTTGGAGAATTTCAGAAGAGATGTAGGAGAAAGAAAAGAATGATCTAAAATCTGTGTAAGTGACATTGAATGAATTGACAAAAAAAATGTAGATACCCCTCACGAAGATGGAGGACAAGGTGAGGATGAGGGACACAAAAAAGGGTTGGGAAGAGATGCAGATGATGACGATGAGGGAGACGAAGAAGAGTCGGGAACAGAAGGTGTTGAAGACGGAGATGAATTTTGTAAGGAGCCTTGACCTTGGCCTTTTCATTGTTTTACTATGCTTAAGACTAAATTGATAGTTGAATATGTTATGGTATGGGTTTTGTGGTTGTCCCAATTTGTTTATGAACAATTTTTGCTTACTTTTGGCAGTTTAGTATGATATGTCTTGTGTATAAAAAAATTCTTATGGTTGGTGTTTTGGTGAATATGACCTCACCAGGTTGTTTATTGTTTGAAATATGGTAGTATATTGCCTTTTCTTTTCTTTTTTCTTCTTCTAAATTTTTGAAAATTGTCAATGAGGATAAGTTGTTTGATGTTTGAAATATGATGTATTTTGCTTGATGTTTTAATGCATTGAATAGTAATTTATGAGGAGATTGTGAATGATACAATTTGTTAACTTCAAACCTTGTCATTATAAAAAATCTAATTTGGAAGCCCATAGCCTGACTAAACACTCAAGATTTTGGGTTTTAGCTTTTATTTGGATTATGGCCAATAGATTGGCCAATTGATTTCTATCAAGGCAGTGCATTTTCCAATAGATTTGAAAATTGATTGGGGACCCATTAGTCAATCAATTTTTGCAAAAAAGGTGATAACACCAATCAATTAGCCAATCATTTTGGAGCCCATGGCAAAAAAAAAAAAAAAAAAAAAAAACATGCCAAAGTTTGGCATCCTTGTATAATTTGCTTCAATATTGTATATAATCAAATCATAGTGAATCTATTAGGCACTAGGCAATGTGTCAATCTCACAATCATTTGTGCAATCAATTGTTCGGTACTCATGCAATATGGATGCATTTTATGCCGAATAGATCGGCATCCAAAATCAAATTTACAACCTTACACATCAATAATCTACACATACATTGATTACCAAAATCAAATTTATATCCACATTAGTTCTACCTGTCACACATTTTGGCAGATTTTACACATTTTGTTCTACCTGTCACACAAATCATCCTGAAGGAATTCTCGAACCTGAAGGAAGCCTCCAGTAGTAGGCAACCACAGCAATCAATCCATGACCAGAAAAAAGAAAGCAGCACATTAGACTACATGTTGCTCTAAATTTAAAATACAGAACACACAAATTCAGAACATATACAATATTAAGGCCTTTGGCTTTTCTTCACCATTCAGCATCTGTTCCAGTTACAAATTCAGAACACATAGATTCAGCATCTGTTCCAGTTACAGCATCTAAATTTAAAATACAGATTCACCATTGCATCTAAATTTAAAATACAGATTCACCAGTTACAGCATCTAAATTTAAAATACAGATTCAGAACAGATTCAGAACACACAGATTCAGTATCTAAATTTAAAATAGATTCAACATCTAATACAGATTCAGAACAGATTCAGAACACACAGATTCACCAGTTACACACAGATTCACCATTGCATCTAAATTTAAAATACAGATTCACTAGTTACAGCATTTAAATTTAAAAGACAGATTCAGAACAGATTCAGAACACACAAATTCAACATCTGTTCCAGTTACAGTTGAACCTCCCCAACTAACAGCTTGCTTTTTCTTCACCATTGCATTTGATATTGGAGCCTTCGAGCAATGCGAACATAGCTAAAACCTAGACCCCTTCCAGATGGATCACCAACACTAGTAATTTCCAAACGCTCTCCTACCTCAATTCTTCATGGCTTTTGTCTTTGTTAATGGTCATGGCAGAAATGGACTCCAGTTTAGCAGCACTACTTCCGTCATCTACTTCAGCAGTAGCAGTGCAAGCTGCTACTCTACTTCGTCCATGTTGATTGCAAAAAACTGACTGTTCAAAGCCTGTAGTTCCAAATGTTGGTGTCGTGGACTGGGATCCTGCAAAATAGATTAAGAAAAAAATAATGATTTATATTGGTAGCAAAAGAAATATGTAACCATATTATAGAGTAACCAGCAATAACTATTTTAAATACCCACCTAAGAAGGAATTCTGATCCCCAAAAGAAGACAGAGCAGTTCCAAAAAAGCTGCTGCCAGCCGAAGCTGAAGTTGATTGCCCAAATGTTGGAGTGGTTCCAAAACCAAATCCTATGGTGCTTGATGTACCAAAGGAAGAAAATACAGTACATCATCCAACCAAAACAAATGCCAGAAAGATCAAAGTCAGCATGCCGGCCATCAAGTTCCAATCTAGACAAGAATGTATGAATTTACTGATTGTTCAACTCTTCTTAACATTGTCTCAGCAAGTCTTCCAAGAATGGTATATTCAAAGCAAATAATATGGTAAAAATGCAATGGTGGTTCGGGGGCTGTTTTGAATTTTTGCCCCTAGAATGCCCTCTTTCAACTAAGTTTAAGGCGTATTCGGCTCTAACTCCCAACCTATGGGTCCGAATTACATGCCGTCAGTTGTTACAAGTCCTATTTGTCAAAGGGAAGCTATTTTATGGGTCCGTATCAGATTTCATAGCACAAAAGGTTTTTATTGCAATTATGACTTACAGTCTTTCGCATAACTGGATCATGATAGTGAAGTTGTAAACTATTTTCATGGATCCCATCTAAAATTAAATTGTAGTCATCGCTGGATAGTTGGCAATCATTGAACAGTCAAGATAGATGACCTTTCACTAGAAATGATGAAAGAAAAAATGAAAGTTTTAACAGGAGTTCTTAACCTACCGGTTAGAAATCATGGAGTGCAGAAAGTCAAATTCATTGGAGAAGCTGCTGCAGCCACTAGCTGTCTTCCTTTCTCATTTTACTTTTCTCTTTTGAAAAATCTATCCAGGAAAAAAAAAATAGTACTAGTAATAAAAAGAAAGAATTTATATGCAAATTGATAATGCCAAAAATGAAAATTAAACAGTTTAACAGATTATTGTTTTACCTCTGTCCATACGTCAAAAACACTTTTTGAGGTGTCCTTCCGGCAAACCATCTGAGAACTGATCTCCAACTAAGAACCAATAAACCATGCAAATTATGTTTGCAGGAGATCAATCAAGAGAATAAAAATGTATCAAGAAAAATCCCAAGAAATTTTTCATGAGAAAGACTTGATCTTCGCCGAATGGTATTCTTTCTTTAAGTGTCAATTACCATTTGAATACTACTATGTCTATTTTTGTTATCTTTCTATATAACTACTAGCCTTTTTATTCAAGACACTTTCAAGGAGGGAAGAAAAAATTATTCACAAGGTTGATATGCCTTTGTGGAGGAGCTATTACTCACCGGTATACTCTGCAAGTGCAGTAAGTGCAATGGAACTTGCCTTTAGTCCTTCCTTGTTACAAAGTTTAACCTACAACTTTTTATGATGTATAAATTCATCAGATGTGTTTTAAAGATAAACACAAACAAAATTGCATGTGAGCAGAAGCAGAAGTTCAATTTCACAGATAGTAGAATTTCAGAGACATGCCAACACAACAAAACTGATAGATTTTGCAAGCACAATAAACCCATGTATATCAGGTCGCTCTATCAAACTCAACAAGAATATACCTTCAGTTCATGCAGATTCCAACAGTTTAGACCAGTGGATCTTGAAATAGATACAAAGGGAAGGGCACTCGCTTGCACAATCATCATACAACCATTACTGGAGCTTTCAGAACTAGTAGTTGATTCGTTTAATAATAGTACGATTTGACTTTCCTGTTTTCGACAACAAAAGGTCATATAGATAACCAATTATGAAAATTAACGGCATAAACATGGAAACTCTTAAGATCATTACTTTATATAGACAGAGATCCACGCAGTGGTAGCCATCAGGAACGGATAACAAGACAACTTCCAGTGAGGCATTTCCCTTCTTTACACTGCTCAAATCATGCATAAAACCCCTAGCGATGCCTATGCAATTTCTGATATTTGAGAATGAATCCTCAGGTATTCTGAAAGAGATGTAATCAACAAGCCTTTGTTCATGTGTTTTATAAGTTGTGACAACCTCAGAAGCTTCTTATAGAGGAAAAGAAAACTGTTAAGAGTAATTTACTTGTAGGGGCTAAACATAAATTACTAGGTAGGCATCACCAAGGCACAATTATGATAAAATCTAATCTCCTACCATATCGCAAATTGAACATATGGACATGCCTCTGTCATTCGAAAGCTATTCATCATCACACAAAAAAAGGGTATTGGACCAAAAAGTTTCTTCCCAGATAACATAAACAGGCAATAACACAATTTCAATGAATTTGCGCTCTTATTAGTTATTAGTGTTTGTGCAGAGAACATATGAAAGACTCATAAAACATATCGAGAAACCATCATAAAAAATGAACCAGAGATGTAAATTAGCAACCAATCAAAATATGGTTCCCCTTTCTCCAAGTTAATATCCTATCCTTCAGAGAAAATGTTTCAGTTATGAGATTCTCCTGTATTAAGTGGTGGTCAACTAAAATGTGCTTGAAGCTGCTATAATTGCGATAATAAAGAAGCCGTATCATCACGCTCTATATTAATGGTTTAAATTTACAAATCGTCATGCCAATCAACATCTCATAAACATAAATGGCAAAATGGGTGGATTGGGGCCCACACCAACTGAAAATGTGAGCCCTACTCTGTATTAACTGTTGTTCCCATTACATTACCTAGCAAAAATTTAAAATAAAAAAATCCTCAACCATTCTGGTAGAATTATCAATAAACCATCATGTCTTGAGGGGTATTCTAAATATTAACTTTGACTTTTCCTAACAAATTAGTCATATAATAGAACCAGAAAATGTAAGTTTTTATTTTTATTTTTAATGCATAACAACACAAGAACCCAAACTACACCTAGTGGAGCCACCAAAAGCTTGCATGAACTAGTTATCTAGTGAAAAAGCCTAAGGTCAAAAAGCTAAGTGACAGAAAAAAAAACTAATAACGCCTATGACGCAATAATCTATTCAATTTGCTTGTAATTTCTTGAAGCGCCTATGATGTAATGCTAAATTCAAGGTATCATCTAGCAAATGTCACAAGGATAAATGCATATACAATAATCTAATAGGCTTATGGGGGTTGAGTGGCACAAAATCATAAACTAATAGTAACATAAATATGATGCTTCATCCAAGAATAAAAATGTTTTATGTAACTAAAATCAAGATGAGACCTTTGTTTAAATTGAGCAAAGTATTCTTTTTGCTAATTTCAGAATAACTAATTTATATAAGTTATTTTTCTCACAAACTCTAACTTACAAGTTACAATAAATGTTCTGGCACATAATTCAAAAAGTAAAATAATAATGATATCTTCATGTTTTCCCATAAATTTCTTTTGATACTATGAGGTGAGGTTTGACAAAGGATTTTTTTAGTAATCTCTGCCTCCTCCAAAAAAAAAAAAAAAAGACTATTTCAACTCAAACCAAATCAGGCCATTTGGAACAAGAAATAGTTTTAGAGTTCAAATTTTTTTAAATCACAGAATCATCCAGTCCAATCTAAATGCTTATCATAAGTAATAGCACATGACTAAATCTGATGTGAGTTTTCTAAATGAGAGTTGAGTGAAGGTTAACAAAAATGTGTGTTATTCTAACTGTTTGCTAACTTGTGCAGCAGCTTAAGGAGCTTTATCGCAGATTTTGAGGGTTGAGTGTTGTGAGAAACATACTTGAATATCTCCAAAGATTTGAGTGTATATTCTATGGGTTGAGTGCAGTCAGCCAATATATGAGTGGTTCACTAATCTCTATTTATCTAGATAGCCATCTGAATCTGCATTTGCCCCCTGCAATGTGAACCCTAGCACTATGTTGCAGTTTAGCTATAAGACTACAAAAGGTTGATCCCTTTATCTACATTAAGGTAACAATTACTGGAGAGCTCAGAGCTGGGTATTAACAAAATAGTGATCATTACAATCCATTTACATGCTGACACACAAACAACATGAAAATGGCAAGTCCAGCAGTGGACTTCATGGAACTTGCTGTGTCTCTGATTCTGCCTTGATTGACATAAGGCTTGAGTTAGGTTACAATAATAAGGCTTGAGTTCCTGTTTTAAGCCCTAATAAATTGATGTATTGGAAGTGTTAGGTTACAATAATAAGTCTTGAGTTCCTGTTTTAAGCCCTAATAAATTGACATAAATTTAGCTAAAATACTAGAGTTTAGTGTTATAGTGTTAGGTTATAATAATAAGGCTTAGTGTTATAGTGTTTTCATTTTATTTTTTTTTAGCTACTAACTATTTAGTCGCTAAAAATATTTATTTCCTTTTTGGCTACTAATTATAAAACATGATATTATTATTATTATTATTATTAATTTGTCCATAACCTGTATATTCTGTGCAACCTATGCCATGTATATAAACACCTCACAACAAATCATAACCCAACCCCATAAAGGGCATTTTCATAAGGAACCAGAGGTCACAATAACAACAGGACAAATATACCACCTACTACCCACCAGGTCACCACCCTTGTGATATAACAATTCTAAAGTTATGAATGCAGCAAAAGGATTGCTTCTTCTAGTGCTGCAAATGAACCCACACGATCATATCACATCAAGCACAATTAGTAACTCATTATCAAACAAAATACTCTATTGGTATACAACAAAACTCTCCTGATTTATATGTGAATCTATCTAATATGAACAATTTAAAGAAGTCAAGAATCATTACCAGAAAATGGGTTTTCTTGACCAAAAACATTCACTTTTTAACACCGTGACTACCCAAATCAGCTACAACACTGGCTGCACGCAATACTCATATGGTCCATGTAACATAGCTCAATAACTAAAAAATAACATCTTCTTACTTAGTGATATAAGAGTTATGCAAGCTACTTCTACAAGCTACTGTTTGCGGAATAATTTCCAAACTTCATAATATCCGGTGATTCCCAAATATTGAATGTTTGTTCGCTATGTTGTAAAAGATGGCCAAAAGATACTTGCTTTACCTCTTTAATGGAACTCTTTTAAGCAAGACTAAACAATTCATGACAACTCATGACTTTACCTACCAATAGGGGAAAGAGAAGGTTTATACCGTTGAGCTATTTTCATCTCCAAGCTTCCATGGCGGGTTATTCCAAGGATCTGATTCATCAATATATGTCCCCTAGCATGATATGCATACATGTTGATCTGCAATTTTAGCTCCCTGAACAGGACGAATCATCAAATCAAAATTCAAATATCACACTAGATATCTAGATTATAGGAACATCACTTCATAACAACTGGAGCTTCCAAACACAACATGAAAAAGATTCTTCATTAATGCTGTATATTTAGCAGATCCAATGAGCTAATACCATAAGTTCTACAATCACCTTTTTATCTAAGAAACAGAAGGACAAAACAAAGAGCAGATCAATGACTTGTAATATTGAAACTGCTGAGGTAGAAAAACATCTTGAAAATCAATTCCAAGTCCTATTTGTCAAGGGGAAAATCAATTCCAAGTCCTATTTTACAAATCTAATTCCCATATTAACATATCAAACAAAAAAAATGTGAATGAAAATGATCACAGAAATGATTAATATAGCTAAATCTGAGCTCAATCTGTGTTAAAACAACAAAATTGAGACCCAAAAACCCGAGAACGAACCAAACCCAGATCTGAAACAATCAATCAATCACCACAATTCGGAATTGAAGCAAACCCAGATCTAAAAGAGAGAAGAAGATATCAAACCTGATCAAATTGGAGCCAAGAAGTTACCCAAGTCCAGATCTGTTGATGTTTTCGGGTAGAGAGAAAGGAACGAAAATTGCGAAGAGCTCCTACAATCGAATCAAACTGTATTTGTGTTGTTGTTCAAATAATGGCAATGTGTGAGAGAAGAGGCGTTTGGGAGGGCTTGGTGTTTCTCTCTCTAGAATTCCAGAGAGAGACGAAGCGTTTGGGAGGGCGATCGACAGAGAGAGATCGGCAGAGAAAGACAGACCGAGATCGACGGAGATCAACATAGATCGATAGAGGGACCAAGATCGATAGATTTTCTGAAATTTACTGCTTCTATGAAATAATTTTTTTATAAAATTTACACTTTTAGTGGAACTTACATTGAAAACAAAACATAAGCCACTTATATCTATTGTGAAATAATTTACACAATTTTTGAAAAATTATCCCTTTTGTGAAATAATTTTTTCATAAAATTTATACATTTTGCTAATTTACACTTTTTCTGAATATGTACACATTTTCGTGGAAATAGTTACACCTTTTTTCAAAAAAGGTTTCAAAAAAGGTGTATGTTCATAAAAGGAATAATTTTCAGAAAAGGTGTATGTTCATAAAAGGAATAATTTTCTAGAAAGTTACTCCTTTTGTGAAATAATTTTTTTATAAATTTTACACATTTTATTGAAACTTACACGTTTTGTGAAAACGAAACTTACACATTTTGTGAAGCTACTTACATCTTTTGTGAAATAACTTACACTATTTCTGAAAAGTTACACCTTTTGTGAAATAATTTATTTCATAAAATTTATATCTTTTGCTAAAACTTACACATTTTCTGAAAATTTACATTTTTTCTTGAAAATAGTTACACCGTTTCTGAAAAAGTTACTCTTTTTGTGAAATAATTTTTTCCATAAAATTTACACTTTTTGTAAAAATGAAACTTACACCTTTTGTGAAGTTATTTATATCTTTTGTGAAATAACTTACACTAATTCTAAAAAGTTTCAGTGCCAACCTAGTTGGGATCGTTAAGGTTAGCTATGATGCTTGGTACACTCTCTCGCTTTGTTGATATAATTTATGCATGTTTTGCTTTTTACATTAATAAAGTTTTTTGTTGTTCAAAAAAAAAATTCTAAAAAGTTACGCCTTTTGTGAAATAATTTCTTTCATAACATTTACACCTATAGTGTAACTTTCAGAAAATGTATAACTTGTTTTACAAAAGATGTAAGTACTATGTGTAAGTTGTCAAAATTTTATGAAATAAAATTTTTCACATATGGTATAACGTTTCAGAAAAGGTATAACTTGTTTTACAAAAGATGTAAGCATTATGCGTAAGTTGTCAAAATTTTATTTCATAAAATTTTTCACATATTGTGTAACTTTCAGAAAAGGTATAACTTGTTTTACAAAAGATGTAAGTATTATGTGTAAGGTGTCAAAATATATTGTGTAACTTTCAGAAAATGTATAACTTGTTTTACAAAAGATGTAAGTATTATGTGTAAGTTGTCAAAAGTTACACCTTTTATAAACAACTTTACAAAAGTTGTAAGCTATCAGAAAAGTGTAAGTACTTTCACAAAAAAGTGTAAGTTCTCACAAAAGGTATAAATTTTCAAAAATTACTTACGCCTTTTGTTGAAATTTACGCCTTCTATGAAAATTTACACATTTTGTGAAATTATTTACACATTTTGTGACAATTTACACTTTTAGTCATATAATATATTCTTTTATTCATTTACCTGGAAAGTAACCTGCTTGGCAGGTCACCAATGTGCTTGTTTTCAAATATTTTTTTATAACTCAATACATAAAAAGGTGTAAGTGCCTTACATACCATATTTAAAAATATTTTACATGTGGTATCGTAGCCTTAATTTTATGAATCAATACACCTTGAAATAACATGTTTATAAATGCTGTTAGTTTAATTATTAATCGACAATACTTTTATTTTTGGTTGTACTTTTAATAATACTATATTGGAAAAGTTGAAGTCTCAATTTATTTGATCTAATCAAATGTGAAATACCTATCTATTGTTCTTTACTTCAACAGTTAAAAAGAACAAGCCTGGGCATATTTACAAATTTGCATTTAATTCTACCAAATAAAAAATTATAAACAATTATCATTACATTCCAAATATTTGTTTATAATTTTTTACTGTAGGTTATTGTATTTTGTTTAATACAATTGGTTGTAAATTTATGTGTTACTAGTGTTGTTTAGTAGTTTTGACTATTGGATTGAAGCACACTCAACCATCATAACTGTGGAGAGCCTAAGTGAATTGAGACCATCACTTGAAAGTGTGAAAACAACAATACCAAATTGCCAATCACTGTATAAAGAGAATATAAATTTAATCAAACAAGAGAAAACACAATTGAGTGAAGTCCAAGTTTCCATATCAAAATGTGGTCAAATCGAGTCAATTTTAAAATTATAAAATATGAGTGAAAATGATCCCAACACACAAGCTATCCAAACCAGGTAATCAGAGTGGAAGTATTTTTAAAAAATAATATAACCAAAAAAAAAAAAAAGTTTGATGACTAAAATATAACAAAGTGCATACTTTGAGAATCATGTCTATTTTTTTTTAATGTCTTTATTTTTATTTTTTAATCTTAATGTAAAATTATAAAAATATCCTACTCTATCTTCTGTTAATCAATTTAGCGTGAAGACCGATGACAAATTAAATTCACATTTATTAGTTTAATAATGAAATTGGCAAAATTAAAAAATAAAATACAACAAAACGTATTTGAAAATCACTGACATAATTAGTCATTAAAAAAATGGCAAGCTATAACCCCCACCACATGCACACATATACATACATACTAGCCATGGAGAAAAACACGATGCATTCGCAAGTGTAGATATAATTTATTTTGTGATTTTGAATGGTTTAATAAATAAATAAATAAATAATTGAATTTGAAACTAGTTTAGTACTTGTTTGGAATCTTTTAAAAAAGTCAAAAAATTATTAAAAATATAAAAAGTTAACACTACTCATTACTCAATTGGGTAGGAAAAAAATCAACATACAGAGGACAAAAAGACTAAAAAATCCTTCCTGACATGTACAGAATTATTATTATTTTTTTTTTAAAGAAAAAAAAGAAAACTATATCACTTGTGCAATCATACTGACATGCACGGAAAGCAAGTCAGTACGCAAAGGGGTAAGAAAGTAATTTTGATATTTATATAATATTTTACTACATATTTTTTTTTGTAAAAAGTTAAAAAGTTATTCTAAAAAATCATATTTTTTTCTTTGACTTTTTTAGACAAAAAATTAAAAAATACATTTATATAATTTATCTCAAACAACATCGAAGATGGTTTAGAGCAGTAGTTGGATGTGAAATTTACAGTTCACAATTTGAGAGGCATTCTTGAAAATGACAAAAGCATTACGAAACTTCGGTATTGTTAGGTTTTCTTTTGGAATTATGATTTTAATTAAAAAAATTTAAAACTTTATTTAAAACTTATAACAAAACAAAATTTCAAAACTCAATTAAATTTTTTTTTTTCAAAACTCAAACTCTTTTCAAAACTCTATTTTTAAAATAAAAAAAATTCAAAGAAAAATATTTTTTTATTTTTTTGAAAAAATATAAAAATATTTTTCCATTTTTATTTCTAAAGAAAAATAATTGTTTTTCTTTTATTTTTTTGAAAAAAAATATTTTGTTATCTTTTGAAGTATTGGCCAAATAATTTGTTATGATTTAAATATCAATAATGATACATACCTCTAAAACTGGAGGACTAATTGAGCTCTAGTGAAATGGGGAAAAAAAAAAAAGCCAAAGCATCACATCAAATAGGTCCTACATGCACATTAGAGCTATCAAAGCTCTCAGCTTTTGACTCTCATACTTTGATTAATATCAATTTTACATCCAAACTTTTGAAATTTTAATCAATTTGACCACTGCCGTCATATTCCGTCTATAATTGGACGAATTGTACAGACGTAACACCAAAATTTAAATATTTTAAAAAATGTAATTTGATTGAACCAAGCCAAGTTGAGCTCGAATTTTAAAATATTTTAAATATTTAAAAAAATATATAGCGCACAAATGTAGAAAATACATCGCACATTAAAAAAATAAATAAATATTTATAATAAAAAATACTTACCATGAAAAATAAGAGTAAGAAAATTTAAATATTGACAAAAAATAAACTCAAAATAATTTCAAAACACAACTCAAAATTCTTTTCAAAACTCAAGTTTTCTCTTTTCAAAACTCTTTTTTTTTTTTTTTTTTTTAACTTTTCAAAACTCATTTCAAAAACTAATTTTCAAAACATAACTCAGAAGTCAAATTATGATTCGAAAATTAAACCAAACAGATCATTGTTTGTGTTGTGTGCATTTGATAATATCGATTATATATATATGGTCACAACTTATCAAAAGTAGGATGATTTGGGTAAAGTGGAGCCTATTATGGGTTCTTTTTTAATAATTTGAACCATTTGTTTTTTAAATTACAACGTTTAAATCATTCGTGAAAAAAATCAAGTTGATTTTATAACCGCAACTACGTTAATTTATTACATTTTTTTTTTAAAAAAAATGGATGGTATACTTTTCAAATAATATTTGTCGCTCATTTTGTGCAAATAAATATTGAATCGACTTGATTTTTTTTATGAATAATCTACACATATTCAAAAAAATAGAAAGTTCAAATTATCGTTACATGACCCATAATATGATCCAATCCACAGAGAGTGATCTAAAGATAAGCTGTGACCCATATACAGTGGCACAGCTAGGAATTCAGTGCATAGGGGGCACGAATTAATGATAATTTGGTTCTATTTTTCAAAAACACTTTTCAGAAAATTCTACTTTCTTGTTTTTCGTATTTTTTTGTTTTTACTGATTTTTTTAATATTTTAAGCAATTTTTTTACTTTTTAGACATACCTACATAAATATACCTAAAAAGTAAAGAAACTGTGAAAAAACTTTTAAAAATTCACAAAATACCAAAAACACAAAAAAAATACGAGAATTCAGTAAATTTTTTTTATATTTTTATGTATTTATTAGTTTTTTAAAATATTTTTTCACAAACTTTTTACTTTTTAGATACATCTAAGTAAGGTGCATCTAAAAAAGTAAAAAAAAATGTTTAAAATTTTAAAAATATTCACTAAAAACAAAAAAAAACACAAAAATCAAAAAACTCAATTTTCAAAAAACTTAATCCAAAAAACTCAAACCAAAGACACTGATTAATTTTTATTTTTTTTTCATAATAAACAACAATGAGATATTACTAAACTTAAATGTTAA